TTGACAGGATTTGCGTATTAACTACTGTTGTACGAGATTTCCTTGAATACTTCTCCGGTTGTTATTTTGCTTTATTGTTGGACCTGTATTGTTTGACGTTTTGCTATTAAAACGAATCGACCATCTACCGGCTGCTTCCACTCCTTGCCTGAAGACACCTCGCACAGCAAGAATCTTTCAACATCCTCCAAATGATTTTTATAATTGCTCACAAGCTTCTTACAAGTATCGTGATGAATCATCCTCTGACTGGAACTGTCTGTGCTCGCCAAGGAGGAACACTTTGCCAGGGCTACAGCGTGCTGCTCCTTCTCTCGCTGGCGGATAATTTCCTCACAGCTGAGCCACTCACACATGGTCTCCTGGTAGCACACTTGCACCTGTTCATCCACCTAGTGTGGCGGGGTTAAGGGAGAGGAACCATGGGCCATTAGTTCAGGTGGAAATCAATTTGGAGGCAAAGTGAGGATGAGGGAAACAACAAACCTCATTCCTCTGGGTATTTGACATTCCAAACTGGTAGTGACCAAGCAGGATAGGCCCAGAAGAGGGCAGTAACACAACCAAATCTGTCAGCAGCCGTGAACCAAAAGAAGTGGAAGAGAAAATAACCTAACGTGAAAAACGACGTCATTAGATCACAGAAGTGAGTTCTTGTATTAATGCTTAACTAAACCAATGACCATATAGGATGTTGATGTTGATGTTGACTCTGAGTCAGACAATACCATTAGCTGTGCCTCTTGCACACAGTTATGAAACTCATGGTGTGAGATGCACCATTAGCAGAGGACGCGTATGAATGAACCTGAAGCGTGACATATGGATGTAGTGAGCTGCTGTGGGTGTAAAGCAGATTGAGTGAGACATGCTTACTGTGCAGTCCTGGAGGAACATCTTCCACACGTCTGTGGTGAGCCCTTTGTAGGCATCACACGGCACGTTAGGCGCCACGATGGTGTGATTGACAAGGGCAGAGAGGTGTGTACGCACAGTGGACAGGTAATCAAATCATACCGCTGCAGAGACAGGTGTGAATTTACTGTTAAAGGTAAATTTAAAACCGCCTGAGAATGATTCTTAAGAACTTCAATTCAAATGAAAATAATTTAAAGAACGCATCAAGACAATATGCTGCCTTACCCTGTCACAAGAGAACCAGAGCCTCCGTTCTAAGATCGATGACCTCGAAAATAGATCATGGCGAAACAACATCCGCATTACCGGCATACCAGAGAAAGTTGAACAACCAACAACCAACCGCATTTATGGAGGTATTATTGAAGGAAATATGCGGTGCACACTCCTTCCCTTCTTCTAAACCAGCCACTAGGGTACACAAGCCAGTGCTACTATAGTGATACTATAGTGCCGGTCCCAAGCCCGGATAAATGGTGAGGGTTGTGTCAGGAAGGGCATCCGGTGTAAAACCTTTAGCCAAATCAAAATATGCGATCACTAAAACGATTTCCATACCGGATCGGTCGAGGCCCAGGTTAACAACGACCACCAACAATGCTGTTGACCAACAGGGTACTGGTGAAAATTGGACTACTGTTGGTCGAAGACAAAGAAGAAGAGGAGGACGATCGATTCGGACAAAAAGAGCAAAGAGGAAGGATAAAAATGTTGGTCTGTGTAAGGTTTATTCTAACATATATGACGACAAAGTAACAACACAAAAGACGTCTTGATTTTTTACTTGCAAGGGGAGAGTGCAGCTTTCTCTTCTGGCAGCTTCCTCATCAACTCCGAGTAGCCACACCCTTCCTCTGCACTTTTATTGAGTTTATAAAAGTATCAGATCACATATCATGTGATCGTGTGTGAGTATATGGATGGGTATGGAGTAAGAAGGTGGGTGTGAATGGGGGTGTGCCTGTCTCTGGTAATTTCTCCATCAGTCTTGAGCACACTAGATTTTAATATGAGAAGCAAACAGTTTCTTAAAGTGACAGTACAGCATGAAGCAATGATAATAAATTAAATTCTTCCAACAAATATACAACAAAAACACCTATTTTGTGAAAGGAACATAGTACCTAATAAAGTACTGAAAAGGCATGTCAATGTAGTCTGGGGCAGAGTGCTGGTATTCAGGAAGGGCTGTGTTGTTCAGGTCAACTTTATGCCAGGTTGTTGGTCTGGGTGCCGACTTGCCAGATCTCTTTGGCCTCTGGGCTTGTACTGCTGGCTGCACATTATCACCACCTCCATCATCATCGTCATCCTCCTCACTGTACTCACTGTCCTCAATGTACCGTATTTTTCGGACTATAAGGCACACTTAAAATCCTTTTAATTTTCTCAAAAATCGACAGTGCGCCTTATAACCCGGTGCACCTTACGTATTACTTCTGGTTGTGCTTACTGACCTCGAACCGATTTTATAAATCCAAAGCACACAGCGCATCACATATGATGGCATACAACTGAAGCACACTGGGAGCCAACAATAACATTTTATCAAAATTAGAATATGCTCAACAACAATTATTACAGTATGGTTGTGTAACCGAAATCCATGCAACGTCGCGTCGTGCCTCCCAACACCCGGAGACTGCATTGTGTTTTTGTATTGTTGATGTATGGTGCAATGCAGGTCGACTCAGACGCATGGCTGTCGATTTTTTCGTGGTCAAAAACTCTTTTTAGTTCTCCTTTTTTATTGATGCAGGCAAAACACACGATCTTTCTGGAAACAAACATCCGCACTTCCACACGGAACAGCGTCAAAACAATACGGTGACCATCCAGAACAGAAATAGTGACAACCGCCTGACTCTAGAGGGGCGAACAACAACAACAGCGCCCTCCTGTGTCCAACTTAGGTCACTACTAGTGATGGGAAGACCGACTCCTTTTACTGATTCGGATCTTTGACTCTCAAAAAGTAAAATGAACGAGTCGTGAACGAATCTTGAACTAATCATTTCATTCGTTTTACAACAGGTGGCGCTTTAGCCCTATTGTGGGCGTTGTAAAGAAGGCTGCGGTTGTCCAACACTACAAACTGAAGGCAAGATGGTTTGCTTCCGCTGACAAAGTCTAAAAAGTACACAAAATACCATAAGCAAT